CCACCGGTCAAGGTTTTTGACCCATCTTTTTCACTTCGTTGTCAAACCTCCAAATTGGATTTGCCACACTCGCAGGTCTATGAAAAATTCCCACCAGATTGTATCTTTTCTGGGTGCACCTGCCTTGAACTGGTTAGCAAAGAAAAATTAAATGTATCGAAAATTGGGAATAAGCATCAATTATTTAAAAGGACTCTTTTTTTCTCAGGCAATAAAGATACCTGATTTTTCGGTCTTTTGGTATAGGTATATATATATATATATATATATATATATATATATATATATATATATATATATATATATATATATATATATATATATATATATATATATATATATATATATATATATATATATATATATATATATATATATATATATATATATATATATATATATATATATATATATATATATATATATATATATATATATATATATATATATATATATATAAGCGCTATGGCAGAAAATGGCACCAATTCTAATGAATATGAGCAAACTGCTGATGATAGTGTCGTCATTCTAAATTTATCTTTGGATCAACTAAGCACTTCAAACATAAGAGCAAAAAACGATTTTGTTTCGCTAGATTTAGACTCAGCTCAAACCGTGAATGAAGATTTAACTCAGCTTCAAAATTTGCTACAGCAGTGGAATTTATTGCAGCTGTTGCCAGTAATAACAGGGAAATAACTAAGTACAAAATTTCAATTATAGGCCGCTTTAAAAAGGGCTTAGTTATTAAAAATTATTTTCAGTGATTAAACAATTTAATCCTCTTAACTGCTTAATTAGTTTAAATTATTATAAAAAACGCTATTTCGGATATTGGTTTGAGAGCAGAATTAGGAGAAAAACTCTTTTTGTGATGGATTTTCCTTACAAATTTGTAGTGATGGTCTCTTCTTTTTAAATCTAATGGCATGTTTAAATTGAAGTTAAACATTTAAAATAATATTTTGTGATACTTATTTTATTATCTCTGTCATTAAAATTTTATTGAGTTTCTTTTCAACCCAATACACATGTTAATTTTAAGAAGACATTATTGTCTCATCTTATGGATCATATCATATTTAATTTTGATTAAATTGTTAGCGTTTTTTCAATTTTACGCTTTTTCTGTGAGTGTATAAGTACACGAAAATGTAAGCATTTCTTTGGCATCATCGTTGGAATATGAAAAAGAGAACTCTTCCGAACTTCTACACTTCCACCATATAAGACCAAGTTTGCGAACTGTCAATAGCGTCACATATTGATACCCAACCTAGACGCTCCCATACGATTGCGACAAAACAACAGCAAATCTTCCATACGCGGTCTCGATCGATAGTTTATTGTCCGAGAAGGAAAACACGAAGGCTGTCGATCCGAAGGGTGAGATTAAATTGTAACGACGAGTCGTTAAATTTGACAGGCGAGGCAATTTCGGAAAACGTCAAAAGCGCGTATTGCAAATTGCCAGACGCGCCGGTCCGTTTTTCGAATCGTGGCATTCTCGACTGGTGTTTTTCCTTGAAGCCATGTTAATTACGCTTACCCGGTCGTAATAATTGAAACAATATTGACTTGGGAATTATAACCCGTTCTAAAAATACCACGCAAATATATCGTCAGCAGCCCGCCATTCTATCTGCCGAATAAATAGAATAGATCGCGATATATTTCGCCTTTATTATTGGTATAGTCCCCCCGCAATTTTAAGAGAGTAATAAAAAGACTACCTCTCCAACCACCTCCTAATAGTCATTAACGAATGCGTGTAATGTATTGCACAGTGTGTCCTGCGGCTGAAGCATTAAAAATCAAGTTTAGTTCTTCAAAGTTTCAGTTAAGCTCTGAAGAAGCCAACTGGGCGATTGGCGAAACGTCAGTGGAAGTTTTGTAAATAGTGTTACAGTAGCCTGTGGAAGTTTCCTTGGTTTTCTAAATACAGGGAGATTATAAAGTTTTGTATTTTAGACAATCTTTGTAGTTCACTTATCCATTAACTTCTCGAAAAGGTGGAAACTGGTCTGGATGAGGTTTTTTTACGTAGGATCCTGTGGCGTAGTCAGTTTTCTTGTGTAGGTCTAAAATTTTGATATACAAATTAAACTTTTGTTTTTTTTTTTTAATTGAACAAACTGTATATCTTTTTAGGCTTCTTATGAGTTTTTCAAATACAAAGCATATACACTTTTTGTGAGAAAGTTATGGAAAAAAAATCGGTTTTCCTAATATACTTTAGTTATCAAATAGTCTTGACATTTCGTAATTATTAATTGTTCCTCTCCTTCTGCTATGGTTCATATTAATCAAAATATGCCAATTATGTAAAATTGGATATATTAGGGGTGTATTATCAAGTACTCTTTATTGAGATTTTTATTTCTCAAAGAAACTTTCACAGGCTACTGTAATACTTTTTACAAAACATCTGCATTCCTCCTGCGTTGGTTTTTGCTGAGTCGAAATTGCTGACGTTTCGTCAATCATCCTGTTAGCTTTTTCAGAACTTGACTGAAACTTCCACAGGCTACTGTAATACTTTTTACAAAACATCTGCATTCCTCCTGCGTTGGTTTTTGTTGAGTCGAAATTGCGAAATTGAACTTGACTGAAACTGGCTCGCCTTTTACTCTGTAGCAGTTTATATACTGTTTGAGGGGGGCGGTAGAGACCTGAGTTGCGGTTAAGATCGTTAGGTGTAGGTTGTTTATAGATTTCTATAGAGTCTCGGATTTTTCGTTGGTAGAAGAATTGGCATCTCAAATGGAATTTTGTGTTTGACGGATCAAAGATGTTGAGAGATTTTGGTACAGGTGGTGGCCCTTCATTTAGCTCCCTTTTCCTCAAACAATATATAAGCAGGTATAGAGTAAAATGCGAGCCAGTTTCAGTCAAGGTTTGAAGAAGCCAGTAGGATGATTAGCGAAACGTAAGCAAGTTCGACTCAAACAAAAACCCACGTTTAAAATTCTTACATAAAATTTTTGGCAACATTAGTTAATACATTTGGATGTTTTCGGAGATATTTCCCACGCTTTGAATTTTGACGTTTGTCAAGTCCGACAGCCATGTCAGTAAATGTATTCGTGTTGATTTTCGAAAATATACCGAAAAACCAACTGATAGTAAAAATTGGCATTCAGTTTTATCAGCAACGGATAGAGGAAGACAGCATATAACTTTAGAACGGATATATACCAATATATGTTTATTTGAATATAGCGCTCCAAGGGATATCTATGTTTTTTAACATAAAACATTTAAGATATTCAGTTTCTGATTGAATTTTAATATGAACGCAGAAAAAATCCAGTGGAAATAAACACCAAAATTTGTGTTTTTTTTTAGAATTCAGTTTAAGATTTTGTTTTTTACTATATTGAGGCTTTTAAGATCCAAATTAGCATTGGTGTCGAGAATATCATAATTGAGTTGATTGTGTGCAAGAGCGTGGTGTCATCAGTATATGAGTGGATTAGAGAAAATTCGACCCCTTCAGACATACCAAATGTATACAAGAGATACAAAAGAAGTCAGGAATTGAACCCTGTGCCACTCCTAAAATAACTTTATCTGCATCTGATATAACGCTATCAGTTCTAACAAACTACTGCCTATTAGATACATATGGTTGGAAAAAAGATAGAAGCCGATCTGTGTCTAAAGTGGTTTACTTGAGCTCAGAGTCTACAACCATTAAAAATAGAACACATTCTATATTTTTATTATTAGATATTATAAATATTATAAATGTTGTTTGTTATTATTTTGTTCGACTGGAAAAACGCATAATGCATTTATGGAGTGACCAACAAACGATAAAAACACTAAACTGCGATGTTATGTATCGGCAATACAGCGTCCGAGTGTTAACCTAACTTATAATTCTGGCACGACTGTACTAGGAGATCTCGTGGCAGAGTGTGCAAACTTTCGCGAAACAAATATTGGGTATTTTTCTGTAAAAACTAGCATAGAAAAATAGAAACAAGTATTTTAATTTTATTTGAGTTATTGTCGGTATACCTTAAGTGAACGCTAGTTTAGTAAGTTTGTTCAACCTTAATTCCATCCCATGAACGACACTTTTTCTGTGATAACTCACTAACTTTAATTCCCGAAAAGAAGAAGGAATAGAGAAACTGTAAAGGCAAAACACTATATTGTTGTGACATATAAGTTTCGTAAGCGAACTTTTAGTCACAATTTTTATTAATTAATAAAAAAGTGAGTGAAGAAATTTATCAATATATTGCATAGTATTCTTTCTACGACCACTAATTTTTGAGAACATTTTTATTCAAAACAGCGCTAATACATTCACTGAGAAACGTGTGTAAAATTACCAATTCTGAATTCTTGACAATTCGGTGGGAGGCCGGATTCTAAAAATATATACGAAATAATATATTTTTATGACAACTACCGAATTTTCATTTATGAAAAGGTTTTGCGTAGTAATTCTAGTTTTCTTCCTGACTGAACACCTAATTAGTCTTGCCAGTGATGGGTCAGGGCTGCATTCAGAACTTCCGATTCTTTATACCTGCCCGTCTTCCCTCCACCCCTGTATTCTTCCAGATAATTCGGATGGGTCTTTGGGATCAATAAATCGAGCTATCATTATTCCTGCATTGCTGTTTATACTGTTAATGGGACTTTCCTCTTCTAAAAAAATTCTACATGTGCTGTTGTCAACAACTCCCATAACATGGAGATGCTTTTTGAAATATCATGGATGCATACAAGCGGCTAAGGCTGAGAACCCACCTTTTTTGCAAGCCACGTTAACAATTTTTCAAAAACAACTTGACAGTATGCCCTCAATTCCAATTCAATTTTTTACTTTTTATTACAGTATGAAATAAGTGTGATTTAATAATTGCAACACAAGGATTTTAGAAACGCGTATTTAAAACTTCCATAAAAAAGCCTCTTGGTCGTGGGCTATATTGGAGATTTGTATTGTGGGAGCAGATAGGAACAATATTCCATGAAATGAGACTTCAAAACTAGCAAAAATAGTTTTATTTTGTGCGCTCGTAGCATTGAAATAATTTATTTTTTGTAAACTTAAAGGCATTCATACTCGCTCTACACATTTACATGGACATAGGAAAACCGAGTTTCTCACGCCTTCTCTGTGATCATTTCTTCTAACTGGGTACCGTCGTACTCCTCGGGTTCCTCTTCTTCCGCGAAAAGGTAACTGTACAATCCGCATCCTAATATGGCGCCGACGTTTGGACCAACCCAGTAGATCTGAAAATTTGGCGTGGGTTACAAAACACCTACAAAGACCTCGTTACATTTACCCAATGCGCTGAGTAGTCCCTATCGAAAAATGCGGGCGGAAAAGACCTGGCAGTGTTCATGCTGGCTCCTGTCAGAGGCCCCTATAATTAGAAAGTCTTCAATTTAACAAAATTGGCGTCAATGTCACCAAAATTTAGATACTTACGGCTACCATGGATATTGCTGCCACAATGAACCCGAATCTGGCTGGGGTAGAGTCTTGTTTCTCGGCATTTCTCTTGTCCCACACCCCGCAGCATACAAGGATAAGTACACAGGTGATGATAGTCTCAATGGCTAGGCCTTGCATCGGCGTAATAAGGGCATGCGGTTTCGTTGCGCAGAAACCAGATACCACGTAGTCTTGCGGCATCAGCACCTGTATTTCATTTTATGAGTTATCGGTCTAACTCAACACTCGAACCAAACTCACCCGTAAGAGAGCAAATCCCAAAAGTGCTCCCAAAAACTGGGCCACGATATAAACCAGTCCCATCAGAGGAGTTAACATTTTAAATATCACAGTGCTTATTGTTACGGCTGGGTTGAGGTGGGCACCCGATATATGGCCGAATATCTGGAAAGCAAAGTATAATTTATTCCAACATCATTTGCTTTTAGATCGCCGTGGCCTAAGCTTACCTGAATGATGAGCAAGATGACCAAACCGAACGCAAGAGATGACATGTGGTGAACAGCTGGAGGGTTGTCAACCTGGGTGATGCAGCCCATACATCCCAAGAACATCAACAGGGTTGTCCCCAGAAGTTCAGACAGGAAGTTGACTACGTACTGTTTCTTTTGTCCACCTGGCAAAGTATTCTGTTAGTCGATTTAGAAAAAGGGAATTGTGAAAAAGAAAATGTTGGCGGAGGATGGGATAAATTCAAAAGAATTTTAGTTGTAAGCATGTTTAAAGCGAAGAAATATATTACAAACATGTGTGATAAAGCAATAAAATGCAATTTTGATTACCAAGGTGATTAATAATTTATCAGTCACAGGTTTCGACTGACTCCAATTACGCATTTAAATGACAAGCAATGCTTAAAATAATAAATACAGAATTTATTAGAAGTAGTTTTCCATATGGTTAAGGTTAAGATCCTATTCAACAGTCGCCATTGAAAATTACGGGAAAGCACTTTAAGGGACGTAAAAAACCGTAAAAATAATATTTTATGTCAAATAAAAATATATTTGTAGTTAAAACTATTTTACCAAACAAATGAATTAACACATTTTATAATTAAAAATTCAATTATTTATGTAATACATACCACTTAGAATTTGTTTAACCAAATTTAAAAATTCCATACGGCAATGAAAACTTTTCACTGACGCTACCACTTTAACAGTGAGTGCGGTAGTGCATTTTATTTGTTATTGATTCATGAAAGCAAATAACCATTCCGCATGTCTAATATCGTATATTTAATAATGAGAGAGTGTAACAATATTTTTTGAATAACTATCACTATATCTATCAGTTTCGGATTTCTTTTTACTTGGATGACTTAAAAATATGTCCCTTATAATCTAAACATTTAGATAAGCATGGCATTCTATTCTAATTGCTTTTTTTGCACAAACCACTTTCCAGATTTAGATTCGATTTGATCAAAAGTCAATTTAATTCCATTTAATTAATTGCAAAAATTTGACACGCGCCGATATTCACTATTTTGCAATGAACCTTTTTTTAAATCTTTTATCAATAAATATCTGTGTCAAGTTTGACTAACGATTGTCAGCATGGTTGAATGCAGTTAAACGTTTTACTCAGAGTAATTGTTGCTTATGAAAAATACATTAAAATCTAGCTTCAGCAGAATTCGGCTATTTATTTAAAATAAGAGAAATAATACACACGCGACATATTTACCAAAAAATTAACCGCATGTATTAAATTGAATCCAACGGCTATTATCAACAACTCAATTTCAATATTTTATTACACGAATAATGGGGAAAAAATGAAAATTGCATGCTTTCTAATTTTTCAATTTAGATTCTAAATATTTTGTGGAGAAAAAAATGATTTCTTTGATTTGCTTGTGTCCTAGCACCCCCTATTATAAGCTACATTAAAATATGCAACGATCTGATCCATTAGCCACAGGGAAACAGGGAGGAAATTTGGGGAAATACGGAAGAAATATGGGAGAGCTTACAATAAAACAGGAAATAAAGCGCAAATCTCTGAGAATATTGAATATGCATGCCCAATTTTGCTAGACAGAATGTATAGGCAATTATTTCTATACATTTTTGTAAATTATCCTTATCTTACTTTTTAACGACCTTTCATTGCGATGCCAAACTAGGAACAACAAATTTCGACGGAAATGTTAAATTACATTTTCAAATAAAAATAAAATTATTTTAAAGTCAAATGTCACAATTTTAAAGAATTGGCCAACGAGCTATCACTGGAAACCTTGTTTCCTTTATTATCCATACCTATCACTCGATAGCCACGTATTTACACTATCAAATTGAGCTCATTTAAAGCATACTCCTGAGATAAAAAAGGGTGGATCAATTTTTGCTTAGAGTTTTTTATTTAGTGGACAAATTCTTGTCCAGTCTGTAACATACTTAATTACTTATTCTCTGGGTAGTAAAAATGGGATGGTAACCTTTAATGATAGTTTTATGCTTTATTTTCGCCACTGTAAAATTTTCGAAAGCGCCCAAGTTTACTGAAGTTTTTTGAATATTAATATAACAATATAAATCAAATAGGCTTAAGCAAAGCAAGCAAATAAAGCCAGTTTTTCTATAGTTTGCACATTTTCCTTCTCATATTGTGTAGAGCTAGACCATTTTGTTTCTTAATCTAGTAAATAGTTTTCAGAACACCCACAACGACCTACTTTTCACATATTGTGACTGTTGTTTCAGCGGGTTATTAATTTCGATCGGGAAAAATGGATAACGGTGTCAAGCGTTTGGCAAATATTTGTATGTCCGTTAATGGTGTGCAGAATCTTTTGTGTTGCGACCAGAACAGACGACATTATCGCGATTTTTCCCCGCGTGGCTGATGTTCACTGAGTTGCCGAAATCAAGTTTACAGTGGAGTGAACTTTTGAAAAGTTGAACACCCCAATGGTGCAGACATTATTATATCAATCGTTTCAGAGAGAAGTTAACTTATATTTAATTAGCAATCTAATCTAAGTTAGACACGGGTGTATACATTTATTTACATTGGTATTATACAAATAGGTCACAATAATATAGAGGTTGATCAAATTTTTCTATCCAAGTTAAAATGTTTTTAGATACAGATCCATGGTTTCGTCAGAGTTTAATAGAATAATTCGTTTTCTATGTGTCTATTTGAGATGCATTGGGTATCATATATAAACCTTACACCATAGCCAAAAGAAAGTAAATTTTTATAGCTTCATTCCAAAACTATTCCATAACCAAAAACAATTTGAACTTCGCCACCTCGAGAACGTACACGAACAATTTAAATAATCCATACATTTAAAAGCAGAATTTGTGACGGGTGGACGATTAAACGGAGTGAAATTTTGAAAAAAAGTGTCTCCCTTACCTCTTCCCAGGCCCATTTTCGAGAGCGACGGTGCCTAATGCTGCGAACACGTCTAGAGATAAAACAGCAAAATGCGTAATTTGAAACCAACAAGCGCGAGAATCACGATAATGAATTTAAATGTCAATAATCACAGAAGTGCTTTTAGAAAATTTATCTGAACCTACTCCAAAATTCCGACAAAAGCGTGTACAGAGTGTTAGAAATATCTGTCTGGCTGGCGGGAAAAAAATTCTACGAACACTTATATTTTATTGTATAACAATTGAACTTGCCGTATATCGGAAAGACACATTTAGAAGCTAAATTTTAGTGAAATTAACCAAAAAGTAATATCGGCATTCTCACTATTACAAAATTGCTGAAAAACTGTTTCAAACGATTAGTTAGGCGCTTTCCGATAAAATACTCCATAAAAATCATTTCAAAATTGGCCTTCATTCTTTTTGCAACACTACTACTACAGAATAAGTGAAAAAAAAAAAAAGAACAAGAAAAGCCAAGAACAATGTCTGCCTCTTCATCATTTTGCCGCAGTAATAACTTTTAACAGTACGGGTAGTACAAATTTCGGAAGGAAAGACTATTTAGGTCATGACGACTCATCTTAGCGTTAAAAATACTTAATACCTTTTTAAACGTCATTGCTTGAAAAAAGCGCCATTAAGGAGAATGCAGATGATTTTTTAAGAGATATTTTTTGGTAATTTCTGTTAAACATTTTTAATCGAAAACTTATTCAAATCGGTATGTCACATACAATTTTTTGAAAAAAATTAGTTCACCGACCGATACAAACGTAAAGGTCGATTATTTTGAACACCCTGTAGGCACACTGGCGGCGCCACAGTCACATTTAGTTAAACCAGAATCACTAAACTTCAACTCGACTCACGTCATCTGTAGAAAACTGACCGCAAACACTGGAACACCATTTTCATCCAGTAGATTGTTTACAGCAAATAACGTAGATTATAATTGTTATCAATGTTTGGATCCGAAAAGGTTAAAAAGCCATAAAAGTATTACAAAATTGCAAAAATTCAAGGCATTATCTTCATTTGATAACGAAAAAATAAGGCAACACTAGTAGCTGCTGCCGATAGGCATTCGGGAGTTAAGCCCGCTTTATCGCCGGAGATTATCCACTTAATTTAGTTTTTTTTTTGGTTACGGTTTACCTGCAAAAGTTTCCAAATAAATGAGGTTAATTTTATAACCAAGTTACAGTGCTTCAAAGCGAAATACGGATGCAATTTCTAAGCAATAAGGTAGTCGTCAAGGCCAAAACACATTTTTTGGACACGAAGAGAAGCGCCCTGAAACGGAATTTTGTAACCATTGAAGAGTCAAACATATGCAAAGGAGAAGAAATGAAATAGCGGATAATGGAATTAACGGCGAATTTTGAACTCTTTTTCCGAAATACATTGACATCGAAATAATAAGTAATTGCGAGTCAACTTCCTAGAAACTTTGCAATTTCAAGGCATTGCACGAATTTCGTTCTATGCGTTATAGACTTGATCACTCAAATTTCCAAAATAATTTAATAAGCAGAAAATCACAAGAGCGCAACTAAACACAAATGTGAAAAAAATAATTAACTTCATAGACAGTGATGGAAGTACTCGACTACCGGATCCGAAGTGGAATAGCACCATAGGGTCCGCAGCCATAAAGATTCAAAGTGGTGCGAGTGAGTGAGATCAACACACTCTGAGGAAGGGAAGAGAAGTGCCCTGAAATTGTTGTGAATTTTCAGTGAATATTATGCGAAGAGGAAGAAATGCAAAAGCGGGTAATAAATAAATAATGGATAACTGCAGTTTTTTTTTAATTTGGCTCGTCTAAAGTAATTTCAAGACAACCGCATTCGAACTTTGCAATTGGCATTGGAGAAACTTCGTTATTTTTTTTATATTCCTAGTCACTCATATTTATGTAGATATTGACCAAGTACCAATACAAATAAATTTGATAAATATTAAATATTAAATTTCAACAATAATTATTAAGCGGAAAATCACATTAGCCTCATCGATAGTGACGTAAATACTCAAGCACCGGATAAGGTTAATCTCCGAAAGGTTCGAATACTAACGTACATAGCGTATTAAATATTTTTAAAATATTAATTTTATTTATTTAAAATTAATATCAAAATTTGTCTCCGATTAAAAAAAAATCTGGGAGTTTTGTAACCTGATTAACAAGATCAAATGTAACCGTATTTATGTAATCAAAATATTTATCAAAGAAGATATTCCTGTTAACAATTTAAAAAGTAATCCTTCTTATAGTCAGCTTTTCAATAACCCTCACACTTAAACTTGTTACTCTCTTCAAACAAACTGAGTACTTGGTACTTGGTATTCAATATTGAGTTCTTCAAAATACTTGATATATACGTCCTATTCGCATACGAACAAAATGAACGCGAATCTGAGATGACAGAAAACACAAACAGACAAATAACAAAATTATTGCTTCGCCTGTTAATCTACAGCACAAGAGTCAAACTATCGGCATGCTAAACATTCGAAAACAGTCCTGACAATTCACAAAAACGTTTTAAATTAGGACAGAACAGTGAAAACTATTGTAGCGAGCGAGTCGAATGAACTGAGCCCGGACCAGTCTGCATCGTGAGAAGGCGTTGGGTTCTATAAAAGCGAAGCGCCCCCCGCCAGACCCGTCAGTCGAAAAGTAAAGCCAGCGCGCAGATGTAAATAATAAAGTCATATAAGAAACCTTACATAAATTATTAGTTCTGTTGTAAAATCTTGTAGAATTCAATCCTAGTTTAGTTAGGTCCATGCTATAATGTTGGTAGAAAAAGGGGAGATGAAGAAACATGGCGGCAAAGGAAGAAACACGAAGAATATGTTTATTTTATTCCTTTAAGTGTTTATCAATAGTAAAGTAATTAATAAATATTAATGTGTATCTAGTGACTTTATTATTTTGGAAGAAACAAATTTTCGGTTCCACTAAGTTTTACACAATTATATAACTATACGGTGTTGCGCGTAAACATGCCTGTACGAAACTGTTTTGTGTTGGCTTTGCTTGAATCTAAATGCAATACATTCAAATCTCTACACCCGAAACCTTATATGAGGCTCACAAAACTATTAGGCAGCAGCAAATTTCTAACGCAGACTTCGATTAGCATTCTTTCTTAGACACCAAGATACCTTTTGATTCGGTTTTGCTCGTTTTGTACATTTCCGTCATCGGTTCATTTTTGCTCCCCGCTTTGTCCCGTTTGGCGCTGCCGTTTTCGTCCAAATTGAGCGGGTTTTCTCGAAAACTCTTTCGCAAGCCGTCCAGATTTTTAACCTGCAGTAAGACCTCATTCGGAATCTCGTTGTTCTGACTTGTCATTACGGAAACGCTAAAACACATGTTGGAAAACACAATAGAACATATCGGCAGCAAAAATGCGAGTGGTTCAAACTGTTTACTATATATTCTAAGTGATCGTGACCAGACTTTAAACATATAAATGGGCCATTAAAAGGAGGAAAACCTAATCGCACTAGTTAAGGTAATAATTTTCATGTTAAATACGTTGCCATAACAAGCTGTCGAAAAACTGAATACAGTGTCCATAAAGGAGGATTTAATACTATTCAACTATTATTCTATGCTTGCTTTTTTTGTATTAACTTTAGTAACTTTATCGTCAGTCACGAAACATAAACAGCACAAACAGCGTCACTCTAAACGCCGCTAAAATTTTGTCGTTCTCGCTCGCTTTCTATTGCTACCCTTTCTTAGCAGATAGTGATAAAACGCGTACGTTAATAAATTGAGAATATTAAACAAACAATGATATTTTCCCCCAAAAAGTGGAATTTGTGTTTTGGTCTTGATTTTTCAACAAAAAAATAAATATATTTATTTTACACTATGTGATTCATTAATTGTCGAATTACAAATTTGAATTGCCAACCTTGGCATTCTTGAATATGTTTTGTCCATACAGAATGAGCATTTTTATGGACAGTGAGGCAAACGAAATGGGTATTTAAATAAAATTTAAATCTGACTTACTTCGGAAAACTTAACCGCAACTACGACACACACACATACAGGTTACATCAAATTAAGTGTGCATGTACAAGAGAAAGTTTCAATGCCGGTTTATTGACACTGCAATGCAAAATACCAATAAGGGTCATCCGAAACCAACCGTATTGAATACGGCAGAGGTCTTTTAGAACCACCACTGCTGAACATAACCGAGGGACAAGACCAATCTTTTAATAAATTTACAGCACTTATACTCCCACCAGATCCAATAGCAATGTTATCGTTTTGCGTGCCAATTACGGGTATTTCTGCATCCGTCAATAAAAAAAATGCACGGATCCACATTAACTAAATTTATTGTTATACAATGTCAAATATATATAATTTAAATTGCATACCGTAGGTGGCGAAGTCATTTTTCCGGTTATCATAATCGGCGTGACTAATTTCCGGGTTGATAATACTAATTTCTATGAGAATTATTATTTTAATAATAACTTTACTCCACTTGCTTGTGGATCAGACAAACAATGTGCGCGAATCAAGGCACTGTATTGATCGATTCGGTATAATTCGAGAAAGGGCCATCTTTGGAAAGCGTTGTGGAAACTGCGGAAAATGCAGAGCGCTACATTCAAAAAGGGGCAAATAAAAATTGAAAATAAGTCGTTAAAATTAAGAACACAACGAACACAAAATTAACAGTTTCGGAGCCACCCTGAAAATCATAAGATCTAATCGTATTTATATATAATTATATTTTATACTATTATACCAAATTATTCAAAAATATCAGTTTTTACTATTTACTGAGTCTCCTTTTAAAGAAAATACGTACTCTAGATCAGTATTGAACCACTCCGAATCCGCTATTATATAGATTTATTGTTTGGTTTTTTCCGATGTTTATTTATAATGAATAAAAAAACTTTATACTTACCGTCAAGCACTCGACCAAAGCAGGGAACCGTTCAACAACAAAAATTGGTTTTCACCAAGACCGGTTTTTTTGCGGGTTTATTTTCAAAATTGACAAATTTAGGTGTTTTCAAAGGACGAAAGCGAAATGCGATCTGTTGACAATTTTACAAAGTCACGATCATCTGTCTGAATTGGTTCGTGCACCACTCGGTTTAATCTACAAAAAGGTACTTTAAGTTTAAAACTTTCATCACGATATAAGAGAAGATTTCCATTGTTCGACAATAATCAAATTTGTCGTGATCTAATCAAAACCTGGTACGATCAAATAAAGACAAAAATTATATGATATTTTTTGGATTTCCACTATTCTAATGAAATTTACTAAATCGGAAGTAAAGTAGTAAAGTAGAATCCAAAGATAAAATATTACGAAAGTTGATAACTTTATCCAGGCTAGTTCAAGAATTTTTCATAAATTTAGAGTATTATTCGAGTATTACAAAAACATAGACATCATAAAAGCGAAGTTGAGTTATACTTCCCCATTTAACCTACAATTGCCATATTATATTATATGACATGAAATTACTTTAGTTCTAATACTTAAGTTAGTTAGATAGTTACGCCAGTAAAATGTACAAATTTAAAAGCAAAGCAATATAAAAGAAGATAAAAAAACGTAAGAAAAGAAGCCCATGTCAAACATAACTAAAGAAGAAGGGTGACATAGACATCATTAAAGGCAAAGTTGCAGTTACACTTCCTCATTAAACATACAATTGCCGTATATTAATTATTTGATATGGAATAGTAATAGTTAACAGAGTCCGTAAAATGTACAAATTAGAAAACAAAGCAATACAAAAGAATATCACAAAAAGGACAAAATAAACGAAAGAAAAGGAGCCCATGTCAAACATAACAAAAGAAGAAGGCTGACATGCGCTCATAGCAATTCATATGCCGTGATTACAGGTCAACTGAATTTTTGAATATTTTGTAAAAAAAAAATATTTTAAGCCTAAGAAAGATGATTATGTTATAATTTAAATAAATGTGATACGAAAACGATCTCATAGTGATGTTTTGTAAGCATATCTAAAGTTTTTTTTTTTTCAAAAAGACAGAACGCAACTTTTATTTTATTAAATAGTACTACACTATGGTAATGTCGCCTATTCTCCATGTTGCACCAATGCCCCAGCCATATCGTATTATATCCCAATCAAACATAGACAACATTTTGTCTATAAACACGCTCCAGAAGGCAAGGATCGCCATAGTATCAAAAAAAAAAAACTCTGATAAGACTAAACTATAACATAATGATTTTTTAAAGTTATGATTTAAAAGATATTTTTGTCTGAAAATAAGTTCAATGGCTATTTTCGCGCAGCTGGTGACATGATTCGAAAATCTTACATCAACATCAAGCAACCAACAGTCCTAGATTCTTAGAAATCATTGAGCACGTAAGAACTTCGTTAGTAGTTGCGAAAATATTACTTCTAGGATTTAGATTTCTATTTAACTAGTCATTTGCCTCATGGATGCTCTCTGTTCGAAACTAAAGGTACAATCGAGTATGATCATCATGTTTACTATAAATACATTTATTAACATACTTACCTTAATAGCTCCACATATGGCTGCATAAATATCAATACATCAAAAATCACTCAATCATCCAAAATCAGTTCCTTTCTTTTCTACTACCAAAGTGTGCCCAAATAATAAAAAATGGCTGAGGTTTGGATCCTTCATAAAATTTAAAATTAATTGATCAATCCAATTGCTTAACGTTCAAATAAAGTTAAGAGATTATAAAAAAAATCGTCTACCCTGATAATTCTCCTTATATTACTTGTTTCACTATAAAAATACAATAAACATAAATTAATTTGGAAAAATTATGCGCCAAGATTTAATACGATATTCTTGAACTATACGGCAACCTCTTCCCGTTAAACCTGGAAAAAAAGGAGACTAATCATATTCCAAACCAGAACAACCCTTCCCATATATTTACGCTTTAGATTTGCACGGTGTTGTGACTAAAAGTAGTAGTTTCGAATATGAAAACTTATTATTTATATTTGTTTACTTATATTTTATTTATTATTTATTTAATTATTCTATAACTGCAATATATGTTGGGAACCGATTTTTTGGTATACCAAAATCGATTCTTAAATCGCGTACTTTTCCAATGATCAAAAAACAAAATTTAATTGCGTCAGGGGACCAATAACAATATACACTTAAAACCCACTTTATTTTCACAGAAAACAACTTTTAGATAAAACGTATTTTTGCGCATATTACTTAAAAATGTACTACGGTCGCATATTTGTAAAACAGAGCATCAAAATTATTAAACACGAATTTTATTTTCCGTTTTATATAATATTGTAAAAAAGTTGAAATTATAAAGAGTAAACAAAACGATGGTAAAAATGTCGCTTCTACATAAAGCTCGGCTGATACAAATACAATAAAAATTATAAAACTAAAAAAGAGGATTTGAAACTTACTCTAAAGGCAATAAAATAAAATTTACATACATAATAAACACAAATCGAGCACTTGTGATTCCCGTGATAGTAAACAAAGCTAAATATATATTTAGTCCATATTTCTAACATACTTACAAAAATTAATATACATCTAATTGTTGCCCACTCAATTAATGTATACAAAATACATAACAAATTAAATTTGGTGTCCAGTTATATGATTTTACGCAGAATGATAATCTGAATGAAAATTTTCTATTTTAATTCAAATGTTTATTTTTACGAAATATTTCTAATAATGTAATAATTTCAACGACATGAAAGTGAACAGAGAGAATTTTACAATAAAGCAAGCAATTAAAAAGCACATTATTGGAAAGATTTTGAATATTTGAAGGGTGATTACTAATAGCAATCAGTAACAAAGAAACTAGCAGCAACGTGAATTGCTATGATTTTTACATAAAATTGAGAAAAAAATTAATTGACTAGCAGATCCATCTAGAAGCAAAATATACTGTTACGTTTTTTAGTAGAGAAATCAAAAGTATGTTTATATATATATATATATATATATATATATATATATATATATATATATATATATATATATATATATATATATATATATATATATATATATATATATATATATATATATATATATATATATATATATATATATATATATATATATATATATATATATATATATATATATATATATATATATATATATATATATATATATATATATATATATATATATATATATATATATATATATATATATATATATATATATATATATATATGATGACACTATATTTTTGAACTGGGACTGGAATCCTGCATCCGACTGGAATGCTGCAGTGTTCGAAGTGTATTCGGAGCGCGAGCATTGAAGATGCTAAGTGAGATTTTGGCGAAACGTCTGCAGGATTCCAGTCGGAATTTGTAAGGACTCATAAATTTGACATATGTACTGGATTAGTACAATAGTTCGAAGACATACAACTTCATCTTCAATAATTTTTCGCCACTTGTACATTTTAATACATCAAAATATTTTAATATTACTACTATACAATGTAAGCTAAACTAACAGAACAAAAAAATTTTTATGCGGTGTCCACTTTTATACAACTTTACATAGAGGTGCACAAAGCAGTGCATTCTAAAAACGCTGTAATTATGATATATACAGGGCGTCTCTAAACACTAACGCTACGATACGATATAGCTCGGGAAGATATAACTAAACTTCGTTGCTCCAAAACTTAATAGTAACGAAGCTACAAAGTGTCAAAACAAAAATTAAGTTACCTGCTATTTTTATATTTAGACTACGTCACGAAAGTTTGAATTTGGGTGATTTCTTTGGATGAAAAGTAATAGTTATCGACATTTTTCGTTGTATTTTTTGTGCCACACTGAATTTCACTTTTGTCGCCGGTACAATAGGTAGTTTTTTTTTTATTTCTAAAAACTAAAAACGGACGTTTTTTTGGAAAGGCCCATCTTGTAAAAGTGGACACCCCGCAATAATATTGAAATGAATGTTTACACGCTCTCCGCCGCGGGCATGGCCGCTAAACTAACTTCAATCACAGAAAGATCAAGCATATGGCGCTGATATTTCTTAAAAAAGCAATGCGCCGATGCAACAGTTTCGAAAATAATTGTTGCATGACTTTCATTTCTATCCCTTTGCAGTTTCTGAAATGCAATTAAACAACACATTGTATAACACCTACTTTATTATTTACGGTAACTTTTTCTTCGGGAGTAACTATTCGGCAATAACACTTTCCAAAATCACGAATTCACGAAGGCCTCTGAAAAATTTGAAAATTTGAAAAATTTTAAAAGTATTGAGGCATTGCCGACATTTATCCTATTAAAAAATTGTTAAAAATACCTTAAATCAGATCATAAATATCTTAATGGGTTTCTTTAACGATATGACACGGCTTATCGACAACTCTCAAGTTTGTTATTCTTTTATTACGTGTACTCACACCCTCCAAATGAGATTCGGATAATAAATTGCACAGACATTATTGTACACTATGTTTTTGGTCGAAAAACATAAGCAAAAAAAGCCAGAACCAAATAAACTTTTAATCATTGCCAACGAAGTTTGTAATATTATCAGTAACTTTCAACAAAGGTTAGGTTTGTCACGCAACGAGCGGTGATTTTCCAAAAACCAAAATGGATCTTCACCGCTTAAAAACAGAAAAGGAAGACGAGAGAGGACGGCGAAGTAAAGGAAGGAGATGTGGAATTGTCGCAAACATTATTTCCTTCATAGATCCGCCAAGAAATGCCAATGCATTAAAAATTTATTTGGTTACCAGCATAGATATACCGGGTGATGTATTGCCGAACGGAACTTAGGAAACCCTATGTAAATTTTTAGGTGCCCAAATATTGGCTCCCCTGTATATTTGATAGCAAAGTTGTAATGTAACTTTTTGAAGGGGCCGGTATGATTAACTCATGTGCCCAGTCTGAATAGATTATAATACGCCAATCTTCAGATATTGAATTAAATATGCAGAATTGCCAAAAGTCAATACAACAAACACCAGCGAAATTTTCCACGACGTCAAGCTGGACAATGAATAGCAAATAAAGGTTGATTTACAATACGGACATGCACACTTGGTTTCACACATTGAAAATAAACTAAGTATGCAAGTATATTAATATGTTTTTCTTATTATCAAACTCATACGCGGCTCTTAAGACTTCCTTGTCCCTTAAAGCGTTCTTTAAATAAATTTGACCCTTGAGTCTTGTATTAAAAATAATTAATAATTATAATAAAAATGCCGTTACAAAGCATTGCTAAAAATAAACATTACTTTTTAAGTAAATGTTCAAACAACCCTCTATTAACAGTTAAACAATATCTTAGGCGATCATGACATTTATTTCTAACATTGCTTAGTTGATATTATAAAATCCTTTCACATTTTAAGGAAATAGCGTTTTGTAACAGGTTAAGATTTTAAAATTTAACATTTTTATAGATTACACTTTTCAAGTGACCCCACAGAAGTCGTTCGGCGAGAGGTCAGGTGACCTGGGTGGCCAAAGGATTCAACCCTTGGGCCAATAATATTCCTGTTAAAAGTATTTCCCAAATACAACCATTAATCTGGTACCAGATTTCCTGACCTGCGCAAACTTCTTCTAGTGCGGGTTTAATTGGCCCACTAATATGATGTCCTCAAATTCCCACCATAACATTTATTTTTTTGGGGATATGCATTGTCCTGGCTCCAAAAGCGACAGGTTTCGACATTTTGTTCGTTGTTGAGTGTGAATGTAAATGGACAACAATGACAACATCAGTTAAACAAGTATTGTTTTTAAAAATCCCTATTCTCATTTGCTTTTTCCATCGCTTCAAAACAAAATACCACTTTTCTTTCTTCGTCGCTTTTCCGGAGCTCTTGGTGCTTTTCGTGTTTATAGGTTTGATGTTTATTTACAGCCTGCCCAAAAATTCATTTTGTTTTCCTCCACTTATTATCGCTTATTAAAATTTATTCAAACTCGGCACATGAGTTAATCATACCGGCCCCTTCAAAAATTCATAACATTGGTATAAAATGTACAGGGAACCCAACATTTGGCCACCTAAACATTTCCTATGTTCGATTCGGCAATGCATCACTCGGTATAAAGACGCTGCCTATGCTAATAATGGAGAAACAAGCTTTTGAAGCAACGATGAAGAAAATGTTGTGAAGGGCAGGGTGCGCGTGAAATCTCGTTTTCAACCAACAACTCCTATGATTTCATACCAGGCAATCACACCTAGGGGGGTACCATAACCAACATGACCACTGTACTAATAGGTTACAGTTTAAATAGAGCATTTTCAGAGGCGGCATTGTGTCAAAATATGCCAACATATCGTAAAATCGTAAAAAATGAGTTAAGTGTGTGTATGGTGATCGCTGTTTGAGAGGCATGGGCAAAAAATAATTCCCTTCTTTACGAAAATATCACCGCCGACTGACGGTCACCTGACTCGGTGAATGTATTCGCGGGTCGTTGCAAACTGTATGCAGTGGGTTGATAAACTTCAGCAAAGCAAAATTGTATTTAAAATTTAAATTTGTATTTTATATATACTATTTTCTACTGCCTTCTCTAAAATACCGCAAATGCTATAATGTGCATTTGTCCAAATCACCCGAGGCACCGGCGACGAACACCCGAAAGCGGCCGAAACATTTATCCAAATAAAGAGGGAGGTTTAGGCGAAGACATACAGATACAAGCACTTTACGTGGGGGAAATCAACTCTAATCCAAGGAGTCGGCTCGTACAATGTTGCCAAACGATATTACTAAATTGGCTTTGTAGATTGGGAAATATCAAAAACTATAATATTAACTTGTCCAAATGTGATTAAAGAATTTATTTTTTGTCACCACTATTTCAAATATTGGACAAAGATAAACAAAGATGTCAATACAAATAGGAACAAATAATTCTCACTTTACTTCGGTTGTCGTGAAATGTGAAATGAAAATACCTAATGGGAAGTGAAAGCCTAAGCCAAACTAAATAATTTGTCGTACTTTAAATATTTGTCTTTTAATCTTTTATTACCTATTGATAAATCATATTGCTTATTGGATAAATTTAAAAATGATCAATAATTTTAGCTATGAGAACAATTTGGCACACGTTTTTATTAACCTTTCATGATTCGTGATAATCGCCGTATGCAATTTTAATACAATTTTACTATGACCGCAATGACTTATTTAAAATAATTGAGAACCTTTAAACAAACACATTTATGATAGGTTTGGCTCCTTGATTAATTAAAATGCAACTGAATCTTCTAAGCTGAGTCACTATAAATATTATCAAATAGATGTATTTTAAAAACATTCTAATGTAAACAAATCATAATTATTCTCTATTGAGGAAAATTCATTCTCCACGTAAACGCTTTGCTGGTCTCCCTCTCGCGGTGCTACGAACGCTCCGATACGATTTGGACAAATACGGCCACTTCGTAAGTAACGACCCACGGCTGCGAGCCACTTCAGACATTTCCGGGATATTACCCACGGGTTTGGGAGTGATCGGATGTTTTCGGACATACCGCTCACGAATTGAAGTTTGACGTTTTTCAATTCTAACCCAGTCATTAAAGGTCACTCACGTGAATGTACTCGTAGAATAAATGAGAGTAATTCGGAATACGGTGGTAATGTGGAATACTAAGTTATTGAAGCTATGCGTGGAGTCATATCGTTAAATATGGTATAAACTATTAGTTTAGCCTGTATTTGGCGGACAACTGACTGTAGTTATTGTGATTTATGGTAGGGGGCAAACACATGTTTAAAACTCATTCTCGCGTGACCAACTTTTTTAGTGGAATTAAATCGAGCCCCGAATTTTGTTTTTAAATTATCATTAGTTGGGTCTTCAGGTAAGTAAAAGTATTAATTTTTTTAACAGATTACGGCGTGGACTTTCATATTGCTAATTTATAACACTATAAATGATGCAAATTTGGAATATAACTTCGAATATTCGAATATGACCTTAAAATGGAGTCCAAATTATACGGATTAACTCAAATGAATATAAGTAGAATAGCTTACCAATTATATGTTAGAAATAACATTCCAAACCAATTTAATTCGAATGCAGCTGGCCGATATTAACTAAAAGGGTTTCTATCGCTAAAAAAAAATAGTCTGTCTATGCGGAAGCCAAGCGGTACGCCATTCGCAAGAGCCCTTGGTTTCCTAACAGAACGTAGTCTACTAATCAAAGAAGTCTGCACCTGACCGCATTTTCAAAATGAATGAAATAGGTATATCCATAGTTCAGAGTAAATTTCCAAAAATAATTGTTTGACGCGGTAAACAACATATATGAGCCCAGCTGGTATATTCGTGCCAACAATGTTTATTTTTTCAAGGAAAAACATGACAGGCCCTTTAATGAGAGGGGCACCTCTTCATTCAATAGGCAAAACACATCCGTCTGCATTGATTCAAACTAATTTAATTACAGAGTGGTTCAGCACTTTATTGAATATACAAAATCAACTGAAAAGTCGAATTTTTGACGGGGATTACAGCCACACAAAAACATAGATATTGTTGACAGGGCAGGGGATAATCACGTAACCTTATTGTCGCCACCTCCTCATTGTACTCAAAAGTGCATTTGGGCAAATCATTTATGGCACCTTTAAATTCGTATTATAGTACGCATATAGCTTCGTGAAAATAATAATCCTTTGACTGCAAATGACATTCTCGAATTGTTTGGAAAGGCGTATCGCAAGCCTCGAGCCGGCAAAGTAGAATCCAACAATTTTGAAGTAGGAAATATTGACCCTTTTGACAGACATGTCTTTCGTCCGACCAATTACCCCACGGAAGAACAATTACATCCGAAGAAGCAGAAATCGAAGTGGACCAAACTAAAGAACAGGGAAACCGGGTCCATCTTCAAAGAATGTTTCCACAACACAACAGTGATTATGTGACTCTCGTTTGTAAGCGAAACTCTAATAGAGGTCGAAGAGCAACAAAATCAACAATTGTCGGTAGTTCTCCATACAAAAGAGAACTTGAGGAGGTTGCAATGAAAAAAACATCAAATAAGGTGGTCAAATTATTGATTGAGACTATTAATAAATAATAAAAAAATAAAAATAAAAAAATAATAATAAAAATAAAAAGAGGCCAGAAAGGGAAAAGAAAACAAAAATCGGAAGACCTAGAAACAAATAGTTTAACGCAAGCTTAAATATTTCAAATTCCTCAGAAGAATTTGCTTCAGAATTCGATTTGGACAGACAGCCGGAAGATCAAGAAACCAAGTTTTTTCTCTAATGGAATATGTAACGAAGATGCGCAGGGAGAGCAGTGAGTTCAATGCCTCACATTTTAATAACAGGTGCACTGTGAGTATGCTCGATATGACGCCGGGATAAATGTGTACGACTACTGTAAATAATCTACTGTATTTTGTTTTAATAAATGTTTGGTTACTTTTTTAACAATGTTTTTGGAATATTCCAAATTAATTACATCTTACGTGGACAGATATTTTCGACTTTTTATTATTGAAAAAATTAACTAACTTCTTTTAAATAAATACGTTAACTTTCTCCTATGACATAGTATATATGAAGATCCAAAACAAATTATTTATTTTAAACCAAATAACCAACACTTAATTTTTTTGCCAATTTTGTTGAAATCACTATTCCAAAATAGCCTCATTTCTCCTACTCTTTGACAAAAACTAATGATTGTAGAAAAAGAATATTATGCAAGACGTTGATAAATTTCTTCAGTCCCTCGTTTATTTAACACTCACTGCACTAAAATGAAGTTTATAAAACTTGTTGCATAATATACTATTCTGACTTTTTATAAGCCAGCAAAAAAAAAAACACCAGCCAACATCCAAGAGACAGTAGCGTAAGGTTGGGGGCTTAATATAACACCGAAATAGTTTTGGAGATATGCACGCGCCGAGTCATATATGATGTGCTTATCTGTGAATAGATAGTAGAATCTCTCGATAGTTTCACCCCAATAACATGACAAACCTGAACTGCCGAGTAGTTACTTCACTTATAAAAAAAAATACTACCAACTACCAAATATTAACAACCACAGGAATTGAACCAATTATTTCCGAAGGATGAGTATGAACCATCGCAAAATAAAATGAACGGAGAAATGTAATCACAAAAATCATTTCAAAAAATCATTAAAACCATCCTTTGAAAATACGTTTCTTGACAACCCGAGACTAAATTGACGCTGCAATTTCTTCACGTTTCGTGCGACTAAGAGCACTAGTTACAAACGTCAAAATTTTCGGTAGACAATTGTTGTCTGTGACGAATGGAAACGGCGAATTTTGCAGTTTTCGTATAAAAATTATCAAATACAAAAAGAAAAAAACATCAACAACGTACATTGACTTCGTTATCTTCGGCGTTCGCGTTAGTAAATTCGTATGTTGCAAAATTTTAGCGTTTGGGAAGATTGCAACATTAAAAACTGAGCAAATGATTTCACAGCCATTTATTTATACATTGTTAACTATTTTTATTTAAAAAAGATTATTGCTATCTTTAATTATTATGAACGTCGATTAAAATAGTTCAATAGTTTTTAATTATTAATAGAGACAGAAATCCCTTTCACAGCCATAGTTCCGACTTATTTGGTACAGTAAAACCTCTTAAAAGCAACTTCAAAGTTGTTCAAGTGGAGGTTTTAATGCAATTACAACAAATCAATTCAGGACTGACCTATTATCATCATATACTGCAGTATTTTGAAATTTCACTTAAAAACTTTTTCAGTCTGTTTTACAGCAAAGTATGATTCGGCCAGTAGTTTTAGTAGCGATTTCTTCATACAAGAAAATAATGGAACAAGAACCTAAATTTCCTAACTGTTCCTGTCATTCTTGGTAGTTTTATCGTAAGACCACACTTTTTATACACTTATCAAAATCCCTTAAAATTTTGAAATAAGAAAAATGAGATTCGGGTCTGGGGTTTTCTAGTTTCTCTATGTATTATTATTAATTTTTTAGTATTCCTATGGACTAATCTTAACTTATGTTCACTTTGCGTTTTTTCTAGTTTTAAGAGATTTTGATTAGCCTAGCTTAGAACACCTGCCATTAAACTACATGGATTTCTTCACATTAGGAATTCAACAAAACTGATATCACATCTATTTGTTTTCAGAAAGAACCAAAAAATGTCCCAGAAAAATTAGACACCCAGATTTGTCCTAAAAGACCCAAATATTTATGTTTATGCAAAATCGTTAGAACTCTGAAAGTTCAGACCTTCGGAAGTAAGTTTTGCTGTAGACAATGCACATGACTTAAAATTTCGGAGCGTAAGAATAAATATCGCGTCTATTATAACTAGTTTACAAAATTATTTTATACCGGTTGTCCCAAAAGTGGTAACTGTTTTTTGTGTGTGTTTTTTTAATGTTATGTGTTATGTCAAAAACATTTTCTGGATACCGTGGATGATAGAAGTGCGCGTTTATTGCAAGTTTTTAAAAATATCGATATTAGTCAAAAATGTAACTATATGAAGTTGTATATATAGAACACTACGAAACAGGTAACCTAAAAGTTTGAAAGGTTTTTATTTGATTAACATTGGTAGCATTCAAAGAATTTAAATTTAAAAAATAAGAACAATTATTTTAACTAGAGAATACACAAAAAGCAATGTTAATACATTTGACTCCTCTGGGACAACCTGGATAACATTTTGACCCTATTTTCCTATATTGTACTGCACATTTTTTGCAGCAAACAGTAAAATTTCAAATCTGAAGAAATTAAAGCTTTTTTAAAGCGTCATTTAAGTTGCAGTGACCCTCTTATAAATATTTAGCACGAAATCTCGATTAAATCTTGACTTTTACTGATTTTTCGCGACGAACAATTTTCAATGTGCCTTCGAGTATATGACGTCATCACTTACACATTACATTCTAAACGCATTTTTCATACTTGCTTTTACATCTTCTTATGAAAATACACCTTTCGAAAGCGCAAAAGTTTAGTGACATTTTTCCTGGATATATTGCGGATTTGGCGATTTTTACTATATCAAACAAAATAATTTACGTTATTAGATAGCTTTTTAAAAGTAAAAAATGATTGCAAGCTTGTGTGCACTTCTTTTTAGACCCTTAACTGCCAACTCATGTGCGGTACAGGATAATAACTAACCTCACCTCTGTTTGAACAGAAAGAAAGATGTTTTTATTTTATTTTTATTAACAAAAAAACTGTTTGGCTATTATAAGTATGTAAAAGCTACAAGAGAGTGATAAATCCCAATACTAACAATGAATTTGAAACTCTAGCAAAAGACTAGCTCGGGAAATAACTCTGTCAAATAAATTTAAATAGCTCTTTAAAATTGTCAATCAATTATTAGCAAATGTGATGTTTCTTAATAATTAAATAATTTGAAATTTGAAACTTACAAAACATAAAGTATGTTGTGGTGTGGTAGGGATTTATTTCCCTATGACCCTCCATACTTTGAGTAAAAGACTTATTGAAGTTGTCACAAATGGGGAATGGTATAAATTTGTAATTAAAGATTAAATTCTTTACGTAAGTCATTTTCTACATTATCCGCTATTGTTAGAGTTAGCTCAAACATTACACACCAAAGTCACTTGACATAATTAGTTCGTCTCAAAAATTCAGTATTTGCGTCATCGAAAGTTCAATATACTACATCCGCGAATGGATCAGAAATATTTTCTTACCTGCACGTCTCCCATTGTTCTGCATATGGTAAGAATTTTCTTATTGGTAGTGCTAGTAGAGATATTCTTTATAAATACGGCTCTTGTATTGAGCAATGACTCATCTTTCACTACCACCCTATGATCTGCTAGAAAATTCGACAAATCTTTCTTCGGCTCGACCTCTTCCTCGGTATCGACTTGTTCAGGCTTGACGTTTACAATCCTCTGATCGCTCATATCATTATCAATTTTTTCCGCTTTCAACTTGGCAATGCTTTTCTTTTGGTGCAACGTTAACCGACGTCCATTCGTTAGCAAAATATTCGGAGACTGATTGTTTTTGGTAAAAGTTTTGGCCGTGTGAACCTGCTGGACATCCACTACCGTCGGAACGGGAGTCAAGTTTTGCTGATTGACTGCTGTAAACACCTGCATGTTGTCCCTTTGATTGAACTGTTTGCGTCGATTCTCTTTCCATCTGAGAACCTCGACCCTCTTCCGACGCTGCTCTTCAATTTTCTGCCTCAGATCTCTGGTTTGGGGATCTTCACTTTCTTCATGCTATAAAAGTAACAAAAATAAGAGTCAAATAACCAATATCGCAATTTTCACCTGAATGTTGGTGACAATGTTGACTGTGACCTCCTTCACAACTGTTGGTCGAGGCGCATAGTTTGAGTAAGACAAGTTACGGTTCATTGGATGAGAATGGGCAAATTGTTCTTCATTATTAAAGACTCTCCTTTTACTTTGCACAAAATTGCCGCCACCCTTGCGCTTTTGCATGCTAAACTGATTCTGTTGGTCTATATAGTTAAAGGGGGCCCTGTTTTGGTACCGAGGAGGAAACTGCATATTGTTGAAACCTTGTTCGGACCTGGGACCGTCGTAATCGCAGTAATTTTGATATTGCATTGGTGACTGTTGATAATCAAAATTTCCAGGTGGGGGAGGCTGAGGCTGCTGCATATAAACCGCTCTGTCATTGGAATGAAAGTGATTCGGATGCTGGTTATATGGGGGGTAAGGTTGGCTCTGGTCATGCCAATAAGGTGCCTGAGGACCCTGTAATACCATTGAAATGATGGGTTGCCACTCAAAAAAATTTTCAATGGTCAGTTTTTACCTGTGGCTGTATATGGGGATGATATAAAGGCTGCGGTTGTATATGCATAAGCGGGGCAGGTTGGTTAAAATGGGGTGCAACATGTGGAGCCCACTGTTGCTGTTGCTGCGGGAGATTATTCCAAGCTAATAAAAAGAAATTTAATTTCTTAAACTATCTTACCATTCTGAAATTAGCAGTTTCTTTTCTAATATTCAACTGGATGGAAAATATTTAATATAATACTTACGACCATTATCCACAGTAACAACACCCTGAAAACGAGGGTTAATCAACACTGTTTTGTTTCTGTTGTAATTATCAGAAACAGGTTCACTTTGGTTCTGATACTGTTGATACTGCTGCTGTCCATAAGAATTATATGAACCCCTAACGCCACGCCACTCCTTACTATTACCCTGCCCACTACCACCCTTTTGATAATTAGACTTGTGAAATGGCCTTGCATCATTTGAAGGTTTCAAACTTTCGGAATCTAAAAATTTATTTAAAATCAGTTCCAATATGAATGACATTATTGACACACACTTACAAGGATCTGGCGCAGTTATGAGTTTCCGTTCGGTGGCGAATTTATCTTGACGTTCACTCTTTTCCTCTTCATTTTCACCGGGTTTGGAATCTAATACAATGAATTACTTTCAATGTAGTCGAAGCACCAAATTAAATATGGCATGAGCTTGAGAAATGTGAAATTGCTTACCGTCAAGTGTTTCACCAAGTTCGTCTTCCACAGCTAACTCAAGTATATCTGTTTCCTCATCATCTTGTAAAAGGGCATCTTCATCTGCTTCTCCTAGGTCAGGATAGTCGGCATCATTATCATCATTTAGAAATTCCTCAATTCTGCCTCAACAAAAACAATATATTCCTCATTACTCAAAGCGAAATTTTCCACTTACAAATCCGACATATTTTATTAACGATGACTCCAACCAAGCTAATGAACCGAATTTCCACAATATTTTCGAGTTGCTACTAGGTACAGAGAAAAAACCTTTATCCAAAATGTTTTAACAATGTCGTGTGATTGACAAAACTTTATTATCTAGTCCCATTTGGCCATTTTGACCATATTTTACCAACATTTTTAACCTTTAGCACAGTTAACAGGCTTGACCTCTGATCATCCAAATACCAGCTACAATAGCATTATAGAATAGTTAATGGTAAGTTGTGGAGTAACCAAAATTAACCTATGTTATCTATGGTTGATGTCAATTTTCTTAATTGTATTTGTATTTACTGTTATTTACAAATTGAAAAAAAAAGTTCTGAATTGTCAATATACGTTAAACACTAATTTTCGGTCTAGATCGATTCGTACGCGCTTGTTTTAAATTTGTTTGTGCAATATTACGAATTTTTACTGTTGTGGCTTCTATTGCGTTGGCATAAATTAAGAAATCAGCCCCAGTGACCCGCATTCTCAACGTACTCAATACCAAATGTTTGAAATTGTAAATCGTATTTGTCATGGAAGAGTGAGAGAGAAGAGAAGGAGATTAGTGTATCATATGACTATCCGCACGCACGTGATTTTCACATATTGTTTTCTTTCTGGCAACGTTTGAAGCGTATCTCGTGCTCGTTAGCGTACATATGAATGTGCATAGTGAGGGTTTCGTGATATGGCTCTTTTTAATAAACTATTTCCACGAGTTAAAGCCACATCTAACACTATCAGACACGAGGAAAAGAATGTCAGGTGTGTATTGACGGACAACGGTCAATGTCAATGGTTAGCAGGTAGAATTGGACAAATGGCATAAGTATTAAATTCCTGCAGCTGAACTCTTGATCGCTACCGAAAACTATGTAAATGTAAAATAACGAATTTTTAAATTATTGTTTTCTTGAATTTAAACTCTAATCTTGCATACTTGGGTAATTGCACTCTAAGAACTGGGGTCAATAGAGTAAAAATCCACAAACACACAAATCACCGCTTGATCAAAACTTATTTTGAAAGTGCAAATTGCTTGTTTCTTTCATCACAAAGGAGAAAACAGCCTGTGAGAACTTTTCTTTTTTGAAGTTGTTAGTCTCACCTTAGCTCACCAAGTTATAATGTAAATAATCTTCCAGAAATTGTAAATTAATGTAATCAGTGGTTATCATAGCAATTACATTACCGTGACTGTTCGGTCATTGTTACATTTCAATTTTCAATTTCCATGTACAGTGTTTTAGAAAAACGTTTCATTATTTTTTTTGTCAATATCTTCTTTCAATGTAGCTGGATTTTAATTGCAAGGATTCGGCTGCCATTGCCCACGGTGAACTTAAAAAGAAAACATTTTTTGTTGAATGATGTAAAAAAACGACTTTACTTTCTACTTATGCCCTATTTGGGTCTCATAGGCAGTCAAAACCTTGTCCTCGGAGTATGCAACCAATTATACGGTTGCGGTATCCACGATTAATTGTCAGAAAATACGATTACTTACTTTCCTCACTTCGGAAAAGCTATAGAATATTTTTACACAAACCTTTGTTTTTATTTACCTTTTTATAGTAATGAATTAAAAAAAATCTCCCATCATGTAGATATCATATTTTAACTTCGTTAAGTTGATCGTATGTTTAGCGGAGTCAAGCAAAAATGACCGATAGAAATCCAATTATTACGGGTGTACCTATCGTAAGAAATATATTTTTTCAGTTTATGTAGATTATAGTAAAATTCATTGTATTGTTTTTATTGTTCTTATCGCTTCAATAAACACTACTGATTGAAAATTATTCAGTCAGCAAACGCAACGTTATCCCCTATCTCAGTCATGCGACCATTTATTTACAATTTGCAAAGGTCAGTTGAATTTCTTTGCTCCTTGCTACCAGTTTTGATGTGTGTCGCGATGCTCAACTGCAAAATAGGTTCAAAAAACTAATTGCGTATTTCGAGTTTGGGATGAGGTGAATTTTTAGAAACAATAATAATTTTATCTAAATTTAATGAAGGCGCGCTGGAAGTATTGTCCATTATTTTTCTTTTAGCGAAAAACTTTGCGAGTTCAATGTCGAGCAAGTGCGCATGGTATTATTTAGGGAGTGCGATTTCAGAGGTAGAAAACTTTTATTTGACTCACGCGCTACCCAAAAAATTCCTATCGAAAAAACGAACCAAGATGAAAAGTTCGTCGAAGTCACAAATGGCTTTGGTTATCTGGTTAGTTAGTCTCGTTTTTGTAAAACCTTGTTGCCTTACCGGTAGGTTTTCAGATTGTTAAGTCGAGTTCGGATTATCGGCAGCTGTCTGAAATGATGTTCGGGTCGGTAGCGATGAGCTTTCGTGGTACATATTTCAAGATACATAGCTTGAAGGAACCGTCAGGTCTTATGTTCACACAGGTACTGAGGAAGGGGTAGTTAACTCATTTTCAAACCACCATTACTTCTAGGTATTTCCTAGTCCCCGGCCTACACGAAGGAAAGTTTCCGTTTCTAGTCAACCCGCCTACCTTGCCAACGTATTGAGTCACAGTTTCGAACATTCCATTAAATTAGACGATTCCGGCGCCAGCAGTACTTATTCCAGTGAGCAATTATCGGATCGCAGCACAGCATCTGATACTGTACTAGGTAGGAATAAAGGAAAATCGTAGTAATAATAATGTGCAGTACTATATACTGTCATTATGCTATTTTATAACTATAACTAGCTGTGAGTTAAGGAAATGTTTTTTTAATTCACCAAATTTACACAAAACTAAAAGTTTCAAAAATAATGTTAATTTTTAGAAAATTCATTGCGTACCATTTGTGATACTTGCTAATTTTTCGCCAATCGTCCTGAAAGTCAAGCTCAGAAGAAGCCAACAGGATGATTCCCGAAACGTGAGCTAGTTCGACTGAACAAAACCGACTCAACAAAATTTTTTATAAAAAGTAGCCTGTGAAAGTTTCTTTGAAAAAAAAAAAATTAAAAGGTGTATATAAAATTTCATACAAATACAAAGTGAGAAGAAAATTATGATGAAAACGATTTTTTTTCTTAAAACTTGCTCAAAAATTAAAAGATTTATTGATGCTAGATTTTGTTCTTAAAGTTATCCAAGTATCGACCCTCAATTAATAAACACCCTGCCTACTTGTACCTATATACCCACTGATAGATGACTTTGAATCAAATTTTAGTATCTTAATTTTGCATGGTGTTGAAAAGAACTTATAACTTGGAAGTAAAATATCTTATTCCTAGAAACAGAACTTACATCTCATTTTTCAATTAAGTTACGTATTTCATGTTTAATAGTGCTTTCATTGTGAGTTTGTCACCTACAGAGAACTAAAAACGATATAATTCGCAATGTTGGCTAAATGCTTGAGCTTGAGCTTTTGAAACTTAGCACCTATGTGTTTCCAGTAGTGTAAATGGAAATAACGCTTAAAAAATATATTTTTTAACTAATGTTTAATGAATTTTTATTAATTATTTTTTTATGTCAATGTTATATCCTTTTGGCCGCAACATTGCTTTCGTTTCGGCGCGCTCGTATAAAAAGTTAGTTTGTAATATTTTGAATAATATTCGGCTATAAACTGTCCCACAAATCAAATTCTAATTTAGAAATCGTTGCCTACGTGCTTTTCGTAACATTTTGAACTCACATGAATTTTTTGGCGACCGTCCACAAAACAAACTGTTGATATCGGCACACGTGACGTTTCCTGTCCAACCTGATTCGATGTATGTTTATCACCGTTTTGCAGTTTGCAAAAGGCATCAGAACTCGATGCTCGAGATGCCGAGAGGGGTTCCGTCGAAGAACAGTTTAGCGGTTGATTCGGGATGTACTGACTATTCGTACTCAAGTTTGAACTCTGTCGATTTTTCCACCTGGGAGTCGATATTTCCTTACAAGGCTGCGAACGATCCGTTATTATCGTTTTCATCGAGCAACTTATTGAGGCGATTCCTCAGGACGTCGAGCAGGTCTCTAGTGAGTTCAACGTGCTCGTTGCCTAATTCCGCTGAAGAAGTGCTGCAGCGGAACCACCACCACCGATCGAGTAAATTGGGGTTGGCTTTCGTTATAGAAATTCCCAAAGAAATGACAGAGTAATGACCAGCTCGGTTAAGTTGTTGACTCCAATACCTAGTTAAAATTATAATTATTTTGCAGGTTTCTGACTCAGTTTTTTATGGAGCACATTGCGTTGCTCGAAGCTATGCTGTGGCGCGCCAGGTGTGTCGTCGAAGCCGCTTACCACAAACCGCCGACGTTTATGTCCGTAATGGTTGATCTAAGTGGTTCGACGGCAGCGTGGCTACTTAACCTTTTGAACGGGCCAAAGATCTTAAAAAATTTCTGGCACTCTCTTTCCCTTAACTGTGATAGTGGAATCAGTATTAGTGCGTCTTCCAAAGAGTCGGTGATCAGTAGGACTAAATCATACGATTTGGTCGGGAATGGTGATGATAACGGCAACCTAAGGTTGACTAATTCCTTTAATGGACTGCAGTGGCTCGGCAAACCTGAGATTTTCAATTTTCGCCTGGGAAAACTTCTAAGTGCTGACTTTGGGGGGGTAAGGGATAGTTGTGGCGGAGTAAGTGATGATTACGGGAAATTCGTCAGCGAATTTTGTGAAATCTTAGAAGCGTTGGACATAAAAAGCACAAACTTGTAAGTATTTTAAGAACAGTCCGCTTTGATGATGTCTCGTAGCAGTAACCATTATTAACTCATAGTTGACAAACGTGGAAAAACCACAATTCTGGGTTACCTGTCGTCGGAGATTTTTCCATTTTCTTATTGAAAGTGATCTAATAATTTCATAAATACGTTTTTTACTGAAACATAACTTAAATGTCTTAAAGGACTTAAATTGTGTTACTGTTTTTTGCAATACCATTTTACTTAGGTTTGTCTATTGAGAAAATTCAAATTTTTCAAGTTGCTAAGAACCTTGGCACTTTTTGAGTTATTGAATCATTTTTTTGTCAAGTCTAAAGTAACACTTTGTTGTTTAGTTATGTAGTCGATTCTTTTTGAACCTTCTGAATATTTTTAATTTTTAAAATGTTCCCGAATTTTTCACTAAAGTCAGAGAATTTGAAATTTGAATTACCTTATACCATTGCATATATTGGCATTTTAATTAACAATTTTACAATTTATATTTTTTAATTTTAATTAAGTAATAACAATTTACTTTAGTAAATTTTTGTATGTAGCTCTCCAATTTTTATGTCCTTGCTTTTATTTTGTAACATGGATAAGTATAAAAAAAACTAATAATAGTAGTAGTAGAAAAGTTTGAGTAGGCTGAATTAAAAGCTTATCAGAGTCTCACAAGGTATTCTTTGTTTGCGAACTAATTTCCATTATCTTACTTCCAGTTTTATCAGCACCTTGTTAACGGCCATTTTAACTCATCATCTAGGCTGGGTATCGAGTTGTCTCTCTATGCCGGCGACCCCTAACGGCGCTTCGAATAGTTTGCCCCAGCCGTATAACGCGTTGTGGGCCCAGCTGACTGATTTGTACGGGGCGATCGGCAATCCCGTGAAGACCGCTCAAACCGTGGTGACGGGTAGCGATAAAGTTACCATCCGTAAGATACTCAATTGTTTGACCTATTTTATCCGTTTCGGCGAAGTGGAACGGAGAAATTTGGAAAGGTTGGAAGTGGAAGAAGAAAACCAGAGCGCGGAAATGATTTGCAAGAAATGTGATAGCATTCCCGTTGAATATTATAAGAAGTACGAAGATCACTTGAAAGATATGTTGGTGGATAGCACGAAAATGGAAAAGTGTGAAATCCGTCCTATCATAAAAACTCAAGACGATTCTTTCGGAAAAGGCCTTTGCAAGACAAAGACCTTCAATAATCTGATGTTGAAGACTGAGTGTGAAGCTAAATGCGAAGGTAGTGGTTTCGGTTTGAAGAGGGTATCGTCAAAGATGAATCTGAATTTATCAAAATTAGAAACTGGTTCAGATCTGCCCCCGGAAACGAAAACGCCGATGTGCCGTAGGAATTGGAGTTGCAGCAAGAGTTCGCAAAATATGTTCGCCCTTGGTGATGGAGACGACTTTCAGAAAATAATGGAAGAACCTATCAATTTAAATCATAATGTAGACAAGGACGTTATATTCGTTTTGGGCGACAATGAGCAACTCGTCGGTTTGAAGAAAGAAGCCAATGAAACATCCAACGTGGAAACGAGTCTCAGAAAGGTGTCATCGTCGAAGAGGCCGTCTTCTTTGAGTTTTTCTAAAATAAGTTACCAATTTCCAAAGCACCATGAGCAGCCGGATCCGTTTAGAGACGATTACTGCTCGAGGACTCTAATGCCCAGCACTTCTTATGAATCGCTCTATTCCATCAGCGTACAGAACGGCGAAGATGTACATTCCGAATCCGAATCAAAAAAGTTCACTCGTTGCCAAAGTGAGCCGCCAGAAGAACGAAAATCCACTAAACCCCGTTTCAAGTACACGAGGGCCAAGTTCAATCTGCAACAGTACCCTCAAGTGGTGAAGAATTACATGAAAAGCAAGAACTTGGAGTTGGAAAGTCTACCTCTGGGGGAGAAAGCTCTTGATCAGTTCTCGACGGTGGAGACCAACATCAAACTGGATTTTTCCAGCTACAAAAGCGATCCAGAAGAAGTTGAAGCTCTACAGACGCCGTCAAACGCGTCTGAGTTGGAGGGCGCTAACGAGTTGTGTTCCACCAGCAAGCAGGCGCTGACCAAGGATAGCGTGAGGAAAAATTCCAAACCTTTCAATACTGATGCTGATGGCATGGCCCGCAACATGAAGCTCATCTCTATACCTATGCCAAAGTAAGTTTGCTGATGATTTGCGATGCTTCTGGTGTGATTCCTACAGACTTACTTAAATTTTTTATTGGAGAGGCTGTCCATCAAGAAGAATTTTTTTTGGTTTAGCATAATATTGTATCTGCTATAGGTAAATAATAGTAAAATGTGTCTGTCTCAATCATTAACACATTTATAAAAAATATAGATATACGTAAACTAAACAACCATAAAATTAAGTTAATCTTTGAAGCTAAAAAAAGGACGGCGGCATAATTAGTATTTGTTTGCAAGACATTGTGATTCTATTAAGGTTGTCATTCCTAATTCCTTAAATTTGTTAAATAGCATTTTGTTGCATTTGGATGGTGATCTAGCATAACATTCCAGATCATTTGTGGTGTGTATAACATCTTATGCCACACTACAAAACTGAACATTTGAGCCACCTTCACCATTAAAAAATAAACCTAAATACAATTCCTTTGCATGATTGTAACTTTTTTCTTTAAAAAAATATCAACATAAGCAAAATTAACTACCCAAGGTTGTTTCGAGTTACATAATATAAAATAAAATACTCACAATTTTCTGACACATCCTGTTTGGACCCTGTGACGACACCAGTCCTCTTGAAGGTTTTTGACAGGGTGAATCATGACTTGTTATTAGCTAAACTTCTTGCTATGGGTTTTAAGTGGGATATAGTTAATTGGCTTAGATAAAATAAAATAAAAAGTTTCTCCTGTTTTTTCCGGGGATGGCACTCTGGTTCTATACTTTTAAATATTTTTTTAAATGACGTTGGTATTATTAAGTACTATTAAGTCATCTCGTTTTTTGTTATTTGCGAACAATCTCAAGACTTGTTATTTAAAAATCAGCATATTAAGAAAAGTCACTAAAATAGATTAGGCTAAATAGTAATATTTGCAAATATACAACACTTTAGATTAGATTTAATGAATTTTCTTTATTTTCGAATCTAGAATTATACCAAGTGTCGTTTTTTACTGTATGTGTTTCGAAATTTGTGAATGCCACGTTTTCTGAGTGACACACCCTGTATATTATACATTTAGTAGAAGGCGCATGAAAGATCTTCTATATGTGGTGATGATGATCAATGTAACTAAATTAGATATGTAGAATTCGCTCTGACACTATCTTTACTGTAAAAGAACTCGGCATTTTTCTTGTGCTTGACGAGAATGGTCAGATTGTTTAATACAAGAGATATCGATCCAGTTATTGGCATTCTCAGTACTTTTAAAAGTGTTCATCTCTCAGTTCTATGAAGTTTTTCACTAACTTTTGTCTTTAATTGTACACTTTTGTTAGTTAAGTCTACTTGTACCTGGTCTATTATTTTAAATTTTTTCATTCATCATGATATTCTACATTTTACACCGAGTATACAGCGATTTGTCGCCAATGAGTGGACTAAAATGTAAAGTATGATATTTCAGCGTGTCATCATATTAAACTTATATGTTCCATTAATAAAAGAAAATTGATAGTATTGTCTTCTACCTAATTTGGCAAAAAGTTGACTACTAACTCTGCCTTTTATTTTTTTGTTCTTCTTAACATGTTTAAAAACAAAAAAGATGAGATAAAGAACATGATCGCCTGGAAACTATTTTTTTACAGAACTGCTTGCAGTGAAAAACCGCCTTACTCTGTACCATATACATCCACCGTAATCAACGAGTTGGTGGATAGTTTTATGCCGGACATGGTGCTGCAAGGTATCACAAAACCGGAGAAATACTGGGGTTCTAGGTTGAAAAGTAACTTGGCCCTGAACACGCAGCATTCCCTCTTGGATCAACCGGTGGAAGAGTCGCTGGCGATCGTTGCCAATACCGACACCTGGTGAGTACTTTTATTAGTTGCGATTGCCCTTTGGATTCCATTTTTATCGAGCATGGTTGATGATTTGCAGGGAAGTTCAAGTTACATCTAGTCACACATATGTAATTGATAAGGGATCGACGGGAGTCAGAGTTGGAATGTCCCAGTTTGTGGCAAACATGCTGGAATCTCTCCTCCATATGTGGAAACTACACATTCCTCCACAATATGTAAGTATGTATGAGGTTTTATGACGGTACGACATTACCATCTAATCATTTTCTAGTGTATTATGCACATAGAAGAAAAGCTGCAGGAGCTTTGCGTGCTTTCCAAAGCTTTGGCGCAATTCTTGCTAGTTAGCGAGTTTTGCAACATGGAGTTGCTAACTTCGGCGCTTCATTTGGAAGTTAACGACGTACCGTTGCTAATGGCTGTGGCGTCGACGCATACGCCGCAAGTCACGCAAAAATATGGGCTCAGTTTTCAGTGATTTGTACTTTTTCACGAACCGCGTAGAATTTTTTTGCGACATTTTTTTACATGAATTATATTTGTTTAAGTCTTTGACGTGCACGCCTGATTTTGAGAATGTTACTATTTATTACCACTTTTTTTATTTATTGTAATAAAGGTTTTCCTACTGAATTTGGTGTTTGCTATACCAAAAATAAAAAGTAAAGGTACTCTACTACTATTTGAATATACAAATTTGGTTAACGTCATTTTAATCATGAATTTGATTTGGCACGAGAAGAGCAAGTGCTTAATAAATGACCAACTAAAGTTTATCAGCGCGTTGCTTAATTTTTCTAAGACGACCATCAGACCTGACAAACGTCAAAATTCCGTTGCTAAAATCTTAGAACCTAAAATATAGGATCGCTCCCAAACTCACGGCTAAAATACCGGAAGTGTCGCGCCCTTGGGTAACGAAGCTGAGGTTTTACAGTGACACACTTGATCCGTGCCTAATTTGGTAAAATTGGGCAGAGTATAGAAAAATTGTTTTCTATGGTCATAATGTTTACTGTTTTATTGCGGTCTTTTCGTTTAGTTTATATTGGTTTATTTTTAGGAAGGTTAGTACTTACTTATTACATTTTTTTTCATTTTCAAAGAAGAAGAAAAAGAAGTAGTTTCAATTACGCTCTGAAGAACCCCAAAGATGATTTTTGAAATCGTCAAGTTCGATTTAACAACTGACTCAGGAGGAATCGAGAAAATTTGTAAATAGTATCACTTTCATTTGCTGTACAAATGGTTTTCGTACTGAAAAGTTAGTGTTTGAGATTTGTCTCCACAATTAAAAGTTAATGTTAGTGTGAAATTTTTTATTTAGTCTAATCTGCTTTTTATTCTATTTATAATACAATGAAAACGTTTCACTTGAAGTATGCAACTAATAATACGCATGTGTATGTTTGCAGTTTGGTCTCAGCTCTGTTTTGAGTCGCGTTTTAATTTTGTTAATGATATATTGTTTAATATTTTCCTATTTTTTGGCTTCTATTTAGTGGGTAACTAGGTTAAGAGAAAAATATTTTTGCTAAATGTTAAAATTTTTCTTAAAAACGTCTTTTTGGTATTTTTTTTCAGATAAAAATTGAGCTGTTTAAAATAATTAATTAATACACTAAACTAAAAGGCCGTCACAAGAAACAAGAACTGACTGAATGAAATGATTATCGGTTTTGAATTACATTTCATTCCCCTAAAAGATAACAAATTCAAGTAAAGCAAAAATAATTATCTTAATGACTGTTAGAATTTTCAACTATTTTTTAATTTAACTAGTCAAGATACGTAGGAAACTACTTACCCTTTTTATGACGACATATAGGTATGAGCATAAACTCAAGCCACGCTCTGCCTCATTTAGATGGTACGTAATTGCCATTAACATTATGCGTCGTTTGGGTTTTCTAATTTTTCGGACTTCATTTAGAATGGCCACCTAAATTAATTTTTCAAAGCTTTTGTCGTTCGGTCGCGGTGCCAAGTTTTAAAAAAGTTTTTCGAATATAAAGATTTAACAGCCTAACCTTAAGACCGCCGTTTATTTTGAAATATTGTTTTATTTATTAGTCCATCATTTCCCTTTTAATGTCGCAACTATTAAATCATGATATTATATCTTAGAGTTAAGTGAGAAGTGTCTATTTTGTATTCTGTGCCTTTTGGTTGTGGTCTGTGTTATTGTTTTGACCAGAAACTAAGAGGAACAACAGAACTACGGAACTGTGGTGGTGGTGCACATGTGCGCATGTTTTAAGCAATAAAGATTCAGTTAGAAGAATTCCGTTTTATCATTTTTAACAGCAACAATTTATTAATTTGTATTCATGCTTAAATTTAGCTGTTTGTTAATATTTTACATAGATACCGAAAGAATGATTTGAATGCCTTTCTGAAGCACTATTAAAAAATGTTGTTCCATAATATACAGTATACAGTATTTATTAGTAAATTTTAACAAAAATCCTGTATTTATGTATAGTTTTTTGCCCCTATATTTTAAATTATCTTTAATTCCGTTTGTTTCTGTATTGTATTTTATTTCCTTTATTTTAATTATATTCTACATTTTCGAAAATAAATTATACGACATTATTACTATTGTAGATATTTCGTGGTATTATAAGCACCTAAATAAAATTACATATCAAACTACGCTCCTGAATTAATTGGGTCAACTATAAAAAATTACATAAAATGGAAATAAGAGTTTCGTGGAGACAAAAACAATTTTTCATCTCATCACTATAAAAATTCATTCTAAGGTTAACACTGTTGACTATTTGAATAAAACTTTTGAAACTTTTTTAAAATATAAAAAACAAAAAAAGTTGTAACTACAAAAGGCGTATTTCAAAAAGAAATAAAAAAATATTATAATTAAATATATATTCTTTAATATCTTTTAATTGACTCACATTTTGGCGGTATGAACTTAGACCCGCTTCAAACACCAAAAAACTTTCTCACTTGCAAATGATTCAGCAAGGATTTACCCTGACATTGAACCTTCCTCGACGCGTAAATCGTCCTACCACAAAAAGCGCGATGCTTCCACTTTCTTATCGGAAGATATGGTGGACACCGTACGATTCTTCTCTGAAGCAGTCGCCATGCCGCCGGCACTCAGTTAAAGCAGCGCAGATTGTGGCGATTTGAGTGAAATTGTGTGTGCGTTTTTTGAATGGACTATCAGTTGAAATTTTCAATTACAATGAAAATCTACGCAATCCTGTTTGTAAGTTATTTCGAAATATCAATTTAAAATTTGCGCCTAATTTCAATAAATTTTTCTCACCCTTTAATAAAGAGAAAAATATTAATATTCAATTAGTACATTTCGACATTTAAATAAGTCATTGAATTCAACAACATGTCGGAAACAAGTCTTCTACTTTCTTATATGGGCCAAACAAAATAATAAATATAATGAATCACCACAGAAATACATAAATTCTGTAATTATTGGTTTAACAGATCGTGCTATCACCACATAACCTTATATAGACCAGAATTTGTATCAAAATTTAAAATTAAAATTAAATTAAAAAAAATTAAAATTAAATTAAATTAATTAAAAATCACTTCCCTAAAAATAACATCAAGTGTCAAACGACGAAAATAAATGTTTCATAATTAGAATAAAAATATCAAAAAATCATACAATTAAACACAATATCCAAAAATATGTTGCAATTCCATATATAAATTATTTATCTGAAAAAATAAAAATATCCTTTTTAAAAATGATATCGCAGTGTACCACAAATTATAAAAAGAATAAAATCTATTTTTCCTCTATTATAAATTAAAACTTCAATTAAAAATAAATCAACGATTGCGAATTCAATACCTTACGCTTTAGATAAACACGAAAATTTAATAAACCATGAATTTAATTTTAAAGAAACTAAAATCATAAATAAGATAATAATTATCAGAAATTGGCAAAAAAAAAACACAATTTAATAATATAATCTAAATTAAAAATCAAATAAACTTTTTAATAATAATAATTTCATTGTGTTGAAAACACATTATAAACCTCAAAGTCATATTCATATAAATTATTTCATATTTCTACTTATTTATAATGACAGTATACATTAAATATAACACTAAGGTATTTAGATATATTGACATAAAATATTTAATTTATATATACTCTGTATATATCTCAAATTTTTAATAAAGTTCCACATTGTCATCGAACCGTTGAAAAAAACATAAAAATTCCAGCACTATATATAAAATAAAAATTTTATAATCAGATACATGCTGATGACACCGTCAGATTGTAAATAAACATCTTTTTAATTTTGGACTGTCCATCCTGTACAACTAACCACCTGATTACCACCGTTGACGTTTCCTGTTGTTCCATTATCCAATTATTTAAAATTAACACTAATTACCTACAAGGGTTCTGTTGTTTTGCAACATTAGAGCAGATGTTGCAATGCTATTGTGTAGCTGATTCATGCAGATTCGCTTTCTAGCTTTTAACATTCACGTGTTTCTTGAAAATTTTTATCTGACACGAATAATTTTCTTTGGGCATATCGGCAAGATGAACGCAACTTCCCAAACATATTCGATTGTAGCATAATTTGTTTAGCTTTCAAAGGAACTTCAAGTCACAGTTGCCAACAATACCAATAATCCAAGGCAAGTGTTTCAAAACGTGGGTAATTGCAATAAACGAGAACAATTATTTTAAATTTCCGTGAAAATGTGGCAGCCAATTAAGAGTGCAATTAAAAACCACAAAATCACTTTCTCAATGACAGAAAATTTGTGGCACGGTATGTCATATTCCACGTAAACCATACCACCAGAGGACTAACTTTTAATATGCGTATAAATTTCTTTATATGTATATAAAAAAATATATATTACTTGCGCGATGAAACCAAATTACTTAAATACTGGGTGTCCCTGTTAGGGTAATGAGGTACTAAAACTTTCAAAAAAATAGTATTAATAATATAATGTTATAGACGTCTCGAATTTTAAAACTGATCATTGTTTTAAAGCCGAGAAAAATTTTTTTGTTAGATATTTTTGACTCTATCCCTGAAAGAAAAGTGGTGGGAGTTCCCCAACAATTCCGAAAATAAATGTCGATAACTCCACAATAGCTAAATTGATTTTAATAAACTTGGACTCCTTAAAAAAGGCTTTTCCTATCGTGCCATGAGCGAGATAATTGCCATTGAGTACCCTGCCACCAGATGGCGTTTTCTTGCAGAATGGAAAAAATATTTATTTTCTGAAAAAAAAAGCAACCATATGAATTTTTTCACGTCATTGGATAGTCAAAACTTCCGCTGCTCAATATCTATATCCTAACTTATAATATGAATAAAAAAAATAAAACTCAAAAGAAGTTGAATTTTTGTTCTTATTGAAATTAAAGTTCGTTATTTATCTTAGTTTACATAGTATACCATAGTACTGGTACTGATTTTTTAGTAGGCCGTGAAATTTGTCGAATCGATCTCTATACGCATCATGCTTCATTTTACCGTTTTAAATAGTCAAAGTTTAAACTTATCTATCTGAGATTTTTTACTGCGATTGTGTTTATCGCATTACAAAATGTCTGCCGAAACGTACGTTGGTTGTGTTTTCTCAGTTTCATCAAAACGCATGTGTGCCTAACCGACTATACGCAGCGAATTATCCCAATAGAAGACATTTACGATAGGTTTAAGTAGGTGTGTGCGCGACAAGTTGATACGAATGCAGTGGCTAAAAGGAGTTAGGAACGAAGAAAACGTAATTAATATTCTTGCCTATGTCAACATTAATCCCATTTAAGCTTAAGAAGAATAAGTTTGAATTGGATGTTAATGAAACATCGGTACACCTAATTCTAACAGACCACTATCTACAACCTAATGATATTGAATTACATCAGACTCTTTTAGAAACTGATTTTGATAGGAGATTAGACTACTTTAACTGGTTAAATTATATTGAATATTTTGGACCAAGGAATCTACATTTTCGAGAAATGGAGGAGTAAATTTACAAAATATGTATTATTGGTCGCCAGTGAATTCTCATTGGATGCGTAAAGTAAATTATCAAAATCGGAGGAGTGTGAACGTCTGACGTGATATTTTGGGTTATCGGGTTATAGGACCATTTTTCTTTAATGGTAAAGTGAATGGCCAAATTTATTTGAGCTTTATTAGAAACCACTTGGCGAATTTATTAGAAAACGTTCCTTTAGAAACAAGAAGAGATATGTGGCTGCAGCACACTTTTTTCATGAAGTTAGCAATTTTTAAGACCAGACCAGATAGGAAGGGGCAATTTGTTTTTGTGGCCTGCCAGGTCTCCAGACCTTACCGTAACGGAGTTTTACCCCTGGGGTAGAATAAAAGATATATTTATCAAACTCGAACTAGTACCCCTGAAAATATGGTTGATAGTATTTAAAATGATGTAGCCAATCTTTAAAGAGCTAAGATTAGTACAGCCGTATTAAATACACGACGCATAAATAATTATAGGAAGCACTTTGAACATTTATAATAGATTGATTTTGACTTTCATTTTCCTTTCAATCAATTTTGTTGCATTTTATCATTATCAATGTTTAGTTTCCATAATATTCGGATCGGATTATTAGGTATATTAAAATCTTTATGGCCATTTTGGAGTTATCGATGTTTATTTCAGGAAATATTGGAGCACCCCCAACATTTTCCTTCTAGAGATAAAAACAGTGTTCACTCTAAGTGTTAAAATATGAGAAAATTCTGCAGAAAACGGTTTCAAGATGGTAATTACGCTTACTGGAGGTCATTTCAGAATCTAAAAGATAATTTCCAACATTTTCAGTAACGCGTTAATATTTTTAATTGCGAAAATGATGGTATTGTCTTAAATTGTTTCAAAAATTCAATTCATCAAATGTATTATGACCAGATCATTTAAACTATCCAAAAAAACTTTACCAAGCAATAAACATAAAATACAAAACTCGAACGACCAAATAATATTACGATTTCCACATCAAGAGTCCCATTTTCAGAGCGATGCATCTTTTATTCTGCATGACTAATTTATTTAGATAGATCACGTATCAACTATAAACAAAATGACAATTAAAATCAATTAGAAGCAATTAAATCATGGAATGGTACATTTTACGGCAAATCCTCGATTAAATAGCAGCCTTAATAAGCGACGTGTAATTAATAATTAATGAAAGCAAATCGATGCGGTCAAGTTTCTTTTGCTTTCTGCGTAATTATCGACAATTTGTCGAATGCGCCATATTAAGATCCGCATTAACTCTATATCTTTTTGAAAACTTTTAAAACGAATCGTACTAACGCATACTTTCTATGGCAAAAGGGCGAGGTGATATCGTCTAGCTAAACTTTATGGCGATTGCGATTTCCAATTGTGCAAAACGTTCCATTATAGTGTGCGTTATTATAATTAATGTGCAGCGATAAATAACTTTTAACAAGTGCGGAAGATGATAACAAATACGGCCGTATGCTGGCGGTTCGAGAAGCAATTAATAATGCCATTCTTGGATAATGTGCAATGTTTAAAGAGTATTGGCTTTAAAGAAAATGGACCAACACACGAAACCGTCGTTTATGAATAAGTGTACCGCAGGATCATAACAATATGAATCGTTCAAAAGAGAAGTGTTATAAATCATCTTTGTTTCCTATTGATTCAATTTATTCAGCACATATGCTCGCAAATAAATAATATTTACGTAATAATACGTCAAACGGTCAGAACGGTGAACTAAGTACGTAAGTGACATATACCATGAGCTTCGCATTTATTAGCTACCTTCGTTCAGCAGCTAGCTAGAAGATTTTTCTAGTTCATTCTTTACACCCAAAAGAAATATTTGAAAAAGTTCATAGCAAGTGAAGCCGAACTTTTCGCCATACAAATAGTTATACAGGGTGTCATAGAAATTATGTGATGTGGGTGTTTGAAATTTTGGTTGTGTTTGATTCTCTTTGATTATAAAATTATATCGCCACCTCAATCCTATAAGAAGTGTCAAAATACACATCTCTGGAATGCTGCTTAAGTAAAAATGCAAAACAAGACACTCAAGTTATTTAGTTGTTGTATTACTCGTATCGTAGCAAATTGCTTGTTTAATAGCGTAACACAAGTAAAGTAACTCGCTTTGAAACCAGAGCTAAGAACTCCAAAGGAACTGTGCCACTCAGAAGGTCAAAG